ACCATAACACATATCAAAAATTAACTGTGGTAGTGAAGACTCATGAATTAGTTGTTTATATTACTGCAGTCAACTACAATCATTTGGAGATGTTTATTCAATACTTTTCTATACAGCATTTATAATGAAAGCATAGGATCTTACACCAAGATCTTCAAAAAAACCTCAAACAGAATCTAGATTAATGTTTGTTTGTTTTTGTTAAGACATTAGGCTTTATTTATTCATAATATACAGCAATATATACAAAAAATGTTACATCACCACAGCTCTACCATGAGCTTACAGAAACATTTACATAGCTGCACACAAAATGATAATACTTGAACTAATTTGCTCCCTTTAATCACTGTGATGTTATAAGTTAATACATTATAACGAAAATCATTATTATTAATTATTATGGAGAAATAAATATATTCTTACAGGTATAAAAAGCAGATATAGCTTATCTCTCAGAAAATGGCTACCTTAGAATATGTTTAAACAATGGCATTTTGAATTCTTTTTTTTTTTCATTTTGAACAATTCTGTGCTTAAAAATCATTTAACAATTAAAAATGGGCTCATTTGCGCATATCTGCCTTCTAACAACGTAGAGGCCCTGTTCAACTCCTGTCATTTTTCCTGTGAACCTGATTTTCTCCTTTCTAACCTCTGTATTCTGGGCAGCAGCACAATTCCCCGTTGAAAACAAACATCCTTATTACTGTAGCAGGCACTTAACCTCGATGCAAATGTAGCTGTGTCGGTGCATTGTAGCAAAAAGATGAATTGCGTATTGAGGATTTCTGTGCGTATTTTTAAAGGTCTTTAGCTTTATAGAGGGGCTGTTAATTACATTTTTATAAGGCTCCCCTTGAAGACCAATGCCAGTTTGAAAAGGGGTAAAGCAATGAAAATGGGCCACCTCAAAAGCAACTGGTTAGCTATTATCCAAAGTGTGGATAAAAGAAAGGTTTTCAAGTGAATAGAGCATTTATCCATATAAAAAGCCAGGTCTGCTCTGAAGGAAGGTACTATAATCATAGAATAGTAGCTCTTATAAAACCAATGCTCTAAAAAATATAATGTAGGCTATTTCAGTTTATATTCTTTTAATTTATTATCTGTCTAAATATGCTCTGAATCTGATTTACTCAAAATAATTGGAGGTGCCATAATTCTTAGGACATTTAACCCTCAGAGACTAGTTTCCATGTAAACATCAAAAATTATTCCACAGGCTCCATTATTGCATAACTGAAATTACTGCAATCTCAAGGGGGTGGAAACAAAGATAAAGATGTGGAAACAAAGATAAAAATGCAGGAACTTCTTCAAATTAGTCTAAACCAGAATTGTCCAATAATGCTCAGGCTACTGAGGAGACAACAGGCTCTGTAAAACAACACATTCTCTACATTGAGAAATAGTGTGTCCCCAAGAAAAATCCTACTTCTCATCCCAGCCTGCCTCCTCCTAAGAGAAAGAATGCCATGGTGGTGTAGTTGCTGCCACCTGGGTGCTGGGTGGATAAGAACTGATTCAGAAGAGGCTAAATATTTGTTAAAGATTAAATTCTAAGGCCCATATACGCTCCAGTAGAAATGCAAACGTGATTCACAGCTGAATTTCCTTTTTGCCTACATGGGATCACAAGTTTGCCTCTAGTGTTTTTTTCAGAATGTTACAGAAAACATTTAAGTTTTGAAAAAATAAAAACAGCATAGACTCTACTTGTCAGTTTTATAGGAAAGATCTGCTAGTTTATCATCTCTACTGATGGCCCAGAAAATTAATTGGGGTGAAGGGCCAAATAACAGGTATATTTTGTGCATCACTAAAGTAATAAGATTATATACAATTTGGAACTTATATCTTCAAATGAGTATGCACCATCAAAAAGGCTTACGAGAATTGTCCACTTATATTAATGGTATTCGGTTTACTCCACAGATTCCTCTTTTGTACTAGGCTTGTAAGGAAATTTATTTCACTACAGTATAGCAACACCTTATATTAAGGGAAAACCTCAATTTTTGACCCAACGTACTGTCCTGCTCACTAAACAGCTCTGAATTACTATCAAATCTATAGTAATGAATGAAGACTACAACAGACATTGAAATTTGATAAAGGACGGCCTTACTGTAGCACACATGGAGCTTTCTGTAATGACTCATTAAAGAAATTATACTCATTTGGCTTGATTAAACATTATTTTTCAAACAAAACGAAAGGCTGTATATAAAATATGAAGAAAACAGCAGTGAAAATAGTTCAGAACAGCTCTTGAAGTTTCCCCAGTTAAGCCATTTGAACTTCTGGGTTGGTCTACAAAGTTTAAAAATCTGTGTGATTTAACCGAAGAACTGTATTACGTAAAGTCATCAAATAGGTACCTGCATTAAAAAATGTGTTCATGACTACATGTCAGAACATTTCGTAGAAGGCCAGTTATTATAGTGGATGCTGTTGGTGCCCCGCCCAGATCCTGTCTACAGGCCTGTGCACAGGTTCCTGCTGCTGGGAGTGTTGGCCGCTTTGGGCTCAGAGCTGCCTCCTTCCCCAGGGACCTTCATCCAAAGGGAGCCACCTGACTTGGCACTATCTGGGAGGCCGTCCTTTCCCTCTGGGGATAGGCCTCAGCCAATGACTGATGTGAAAGCCTGGCTCCCTGCCTCTCCAGAGCCATTAACAGTGAAGAGCTCCCTGTGAGATGAAGCGGAGGCTTGGCTTCAGCTGAATCCACCTCTTTGCCTAGCTTTTCTTCCTCTCTAGTCTTCACTCTGCTCCAGGTTTCAAGTGAGAGCACTCCTTCACTCTATCAACTGAACAAGAGCCCATTGTAAGCTCTGCATCTACAAAACCCAACCCAAGACAATTATGATCCTACTAGAGCCCTGGTGCCCAAAATTCATGCACAGAGGGAGGTGGGGGTCCCTCAGACTGGCCTGCATCCTCTTGCAATCCAGGACGCCTTAGGGGATGTCCAACTGCCGGTTTACAGGCCTAAACCAGCAGTCAGACATCCCTCTCGCAATCCGGGATGCTGCACGCACCAGTAACCATACTTTTCATACAGGTGAAAGGCATCTTGCTGATGTATGGGCATCTACATTTTTTTGCCCTGATTATCAAAAGTAGTACATAACATGATCCTTCTGAGACAGTAGTACCATTTTCCCCATCCTATGGGTACAAAAACTGAAGGAGAGAGAAGCAATTGGCTTTGTCACACAGTTTTAAATGTCAGAATCAGGGCTCACCACAAAATGTGCAAGCCAGAGTCCATGCATGTCATCGCTGCATCATCCTGTATTTTCAGTCTTGCCAGGTTTTAATTTTTAAATCTAAGAGACTATTCCCAATATATAGGGTACGGTCCCTAGGCCTGGCATGCGATCAGGGCTGATCTGTGAGGCAACCAGCAGGGCAATCGGGGGACCCACACTGGCACCTGCCTTGGCTGGTGGCCTGGCGCCGCTTGCTCACCAGCCCCACCCCCCGATCGCCCCACCACTGCCGCTGGTCGCCTCCCTCTGTCTGCTGGCACCCACCTTGGCTGGCCTGGCACCACCTGCTCTCTGGCCCCGCCACCCACCAACCAGTCATTCTGCTGGTCATGTTCTTCTGGTCATTCTGATGTTCGGTCGATTTGCATATTAGGGTTTTATACAGATAGATATAAGAACAGCAATCTACATATATATAAAAGCCTAAGCGGCTATTACAACAAAACAACCGGAACAACTACTCGCTATGACACACACTGACCACCAGGGGGCAGACGCTCAACACAGGAGCTGCCCCTGGTGGTCAGTTTGCTCCCACAGCAGTAGAAGCCGGGCTCACAGCTGGCAAGCACAGTGGCAGTGGTGGGAGCCTTTCCTTAGCATGGCAATGCTAAGGAGCAAGTGGTAAGGAGCGAGCGGTGAGTGGTTAGGAGCACGGAGCGCCAAGCGCCGAGCACTAAGGCCCAAGCACTGAGCCCTACTCAGGCTCCTCCCTAGCTGCCTGCTGCTTCCCACACTGCTACATCCCTCAGGCCAGGCCGAAACTGGCAGTCCAACATCCCCCGAGGGGTCCCAGATTGCGAGAGGGTGCAATCCAGGCTGAGGGACCCCAACTGGTGTATGAATCCATGCAGTGGGTCTCTCGTATTTAAATAAAAAGCAAATACAATAAACACTACACTACCTTGACAGGATGAAGATTTGTTGTGGTGATAACTTTGTGCAGTGGGCCTGCCAACTTTGGGGGCAGTTTTGGCTCTTTATCCAGTCCCTGGGGTTTAGTGTAATAATCCAGTCTCTCTCGAGGAAAGAAATTGTTGATTACAGTTACACAATCATGTTGACCTTTTAACAGAAAAATAAGAAATTTGTTACTTTATTATTCATAGTAAGACATTTTCCAGTTTTTAAATTAATGAATGCTGCTCTGTTTTCTTGTGTGGTAAAATGCACATACATCTTTAATTTTCAGGAAAGGAGAGAAGAAGAGGAGAGGTAAAAGGTTTAGGCGAACATTTTTAAAGCATGCTTTGTGAAGTCAAGAAATAATCTCCTTTTAAAGACACAGAATCCTTACTATGTATGAAGATTATGAGGATTGCAAAAAAGGCAATGTTCAACTTATAATTTTTTACTCTAGTTTAAAGATTGCTTATAATTTAAATGTCTCTTCTTCCACCTTTACACAAATGATGGTCATTATTCCCCAATCACATCTGGCTTTCGTTATATAGAAATTTAAATTGATAGAGCTTTTCTTATCATAATTAGTATTCATATTAGTAACCTAACCTCCCCTCCCCTGGAATTGGAGAAAAGCTGGCCTTTATGAAATAAACTAGAGAAAAAGCTTTTGCTCCCATAACCCTGGAATCCACATTATGGTTCTCACAGATCTCTAAGCCACTTTTCTAAGCCATACCTAGTGGTAAAATAGTTCTAAAAGAAAAATGTTGTGAAACCACTCCTAAAATATATGAAAACAGGCATAAGAAGATTTAAAGATAAAGGGATGAGAGGAAAATGAAGAATTAGCATGTAACTTTATCTTCTCATCAGTCCCCCAATAGGTTAGTCAGAAAAAGCCCTTTTGGCAGTTGAAAATATAAAAATACTGGCTATATAATAATCACACTGTCACAGGACTGGGGCTTAAGATTACACCTTTGGGAGAAAGAACAAATATTATGTTACTTTTTACAAGATTAATCTCTTTCATTTCAGGTAGTGCTGAGATTATTTTGACATTTAAGTTTAAATCATCTGCTAATAATTTATATAAGAATGATATATATTTAAAGTTTATCATTATAAATATAAATTTTCACTTAATTTATATCTAAAATTTTATAGTCAAAAGTATTAAGTAGTTTTACTTTTTCTTAATTTATGAGTTTTGAATGCATACTAATGAAACAGTAATATTAATATACAAAACAAATACTGGGAGTTAGGGGAAGCTTCCATATTGAGAAATGAATAATTTATTAAAAAAATAAATCAAATTCTCATTTGCAAAATCAGGATTAGGAAAACTGTGGAGTAACTTCTACATGCGATTGTGAGAAAAGAACAACGGTACATCAATCATGAAACTAGCCAAGATATGACTCACATTCTCCACAGAGAAAGATAGTTTTGTTTATGATGAGTTTCAAACAAAATACAACCTACATACTATCTGAGAACGTCTGTCACTAAAACCTAAGTTTTAGTGCAAGAAGGAAGAGCAAACAGTGGAGAACAGCAGCCTTGGCAACAGAGAGCATCGGAATGGGTGGAGAGGATGACTGAGGAATTACACTGCTGACCATTGGAATTACTGAAAGAAGTAAGGAGGTACACTCTAGTAACATGTCAGTCCTAAAAATGTTACCCTCTCAGCGAAGTCCACAGCTAGTGGTGATGGCGGAGGAAAGAAAAGTCCTGCTGCCTATAAAACCAAAAGAGAGGATGTGAAGAAATAAATGAGTTTTAAGGTTTTCCTCTTGTTGGGGTGGCTAAATGGGTAAATACAGGCCTTTGGGAGTGGGACACAGAGTATAGTTTTGTTCTTATTTTTAGATGATAACTGAGAACTATGAGCTTAATCAGGAGTGTTGTGAATAGGAAAGCAAGCACTAGTGGACTGGGAAACATTTTTTAAAAAATATGTATCTTTATTGTTGAAAGTATTACAGATTCCCCATTCTTTTGTCCCACTGATCCCCTCCCCCTGCCCACCCCCGCCCCCCCCCCCCAGGCCTTATCTGAACTATTGTCTGTGTCGATGGGTTATGCATATATGCATAGAAGTTCTTCCCCCATCCTGATCATTTAAGTCAATAAAAGGAGAAATAAAATGTACTCTAATGTAACCAGACAATCTTGAGAAAGAAACACACACACAACTACCAAGTAAAATGTAGAGTAAAAAACTGAGGTAAAAGAGTAAAAGAATGAGGAGGCAATTAAGAAATGGCTATATTATCAGAAAAATTAGAACTAAAATTTAAGACAGAGTGGAATTAGGTAATGGTAAAACCAAAAGCAAATCATAATAAAAAGTGAAAAGCTGAAAATATTTCCATTAAAAAAACAATACATGCCAATTATCATAATTATTATTGCTTGTTACTTTGAAGCCTGAAGCTAATTCAAATAGAAAATAAAACAAAACTGAATAGCTATAAAACCCAGGAGACTTATAAAAAATGACAATAAAAAAATCAATAGCTATGGGAAGATAAGTATTTCTCTGAAGATTGCACAACAAGGCCATTCCTTTCTCCAATCCTTCTGAAATTGAATTAAAATAATACTTGTTCTCACAGAGCTATCATAAAGTGACTCCATGACTGTCCAACTTGATCAATGGTAGCTACTATTAGTTTTATAAATTGACAGTAAAATTTAACAAAATATACAGATATGATACCCCACATCTGACTAATTTCCATTCTATCTTACCTTAAATGTTATTTCTCTCAAAACCCCCTTAGAATAAGGATAGAAGATCCCTTTTTTTGATGTGTTTCTATGGAACTCTTAAGTGGTCCCTTAGCGTATGCTGTTTCACAATGCCCATCACCACTATTGGCCTCAAGTGCCATGAACACGTAACAGCCTCTGTCTTGTTCACCAATGTAACCAAAGCACCTAGAGTGATGCTGGGTACATAGGTTGTGAACGTTACGTATTTGTTTCATGAATTATTAGCCCTCACAAAGCCACTTACTGCACTCCCTATGTCAGATGTTTATAGCTTTTCTATTAATGGACTCTCCTAACTGCCAATTTAGTGTGGCCAAACTACCAATGATCAAATATTCACTCCCACTCTCTTCTAAACCCTCTACATTATTTCCAGTAACAGCATTAACACATCAAGAAATATTGACCACACACAATAAATATTTGTTGTTGATGATGATAATGAAGCAGCTATATATTATATTATTAATGCTTCTTCCTACAAAAGAATTACAGTGCTATAATTATTATTAACAACAGTAATGATGGCATTTATTTAGTTACTTGTAAAGCTCTATTGTCTCATTTGATGCTTTCCATAACCATGTAAACATGTTACAATGAGGAAATTGAAGGTCAGGATCATTAAGTAACATGCAACTGAGTAACACAGCCAGAATTTAAACTGAACACTGTTGACTTCACAGTTCATGATCTTATACATTGAACTACTTCCTTTAGAGAAATAAAATATTCAAAGCATTCGACTGCAACTAAAATAACTTCACCATTCTCTGTATCTTACAGAGTGGACATTTAACAGCTGGTTCATCTTCTCCAAAGTATCATGGGTATTTCATTAAGTTAGACAAAATCTAGTGGGCTAAAAACATTTTTTTAAAAATAAACATGACAGTATTTGTTCTTTGAGAAGTGGTATTCTTTCCATGGAGAAAATTTGGGGTGTAACCTCATGTAAAACTGCCATCAAATAACTCACCCACAAAGGCTGCCATCTGAGCTGCTGTCCTTCCTACCGAGTTGACAACATCTGTCTCGGCACCAGCTTCCAACATTGCCCACGTGATGTCTTTATTACCTAGGGTTTTTAAAGGGAACATATTTGTTAATATTAAGGAATGTGCAATTCAAATACTCCCTATCAGATTATCTGTAACCTTTTTCGCCACAAACTTTTAGATGTTCATTTTTTTGGATATTTTCACCTTTTTCTAAAATATAAATCATAACTATAGTAAAGAGTAAAATGCTAGAAGAACCCATTAGAAATTAAACTTGTTTTCTAGAAACACATCAGGCAATACAAAAATTGAGTAGAAATACCACTTTTTTTTTTAACCGAACAAAATATATTTATTTTTCCTAATAATGTTTAGTACAAAGTAAAAACAAAAACATAGATGAATAGAAGTCTTTACTTAATATCTACTAACCCACCTCATCCTTCACATCTTCAGGCCCTGGGACAACTATTAACAGTTGGGGGTATACTTTTCTATAATTTTTTCTCGATAACCATCATTTGTATTTATTCTATTTGCATTCTACTACTCATGGAATCATTACAGATATTTAGCTATTATAAATTGTACTCAGTGAACAGCATTTTTCATTAATTTTTGCAGTTTGAACTACCATTTCCTTAGGAACAGTTCTTGGAAAAATACTGTGGGAGCAAAGGTTACACATATTTTAAATGCATTTTTTCAGGCTGCCTTCCAGCAAGGCTGGGCTGATGTGCACGCCCGAAAACAGTGCAAAGGAGGTCCTATGCCAATGCTGGGCATTGTCACTCTTCCTTAACCTCTGCCAATGTGGTAAAAAATAACCTATGTTTGTTAGCCAGTTTTACTTCTTTATTCTTTTCAATTTTCTGTTTCATTTTCTACTGCAGTATTTGCCATTTCTAATTGATTTATAAAAACTTTTCATATATAATAATGTGATCCTTTAAGATGTATAATAAGTATTTTCCTTAGTTTCTCATTTGTATTTTAACTGTATATAAGGTATATTCTATATACAGAAATTTTAAAAGTATATGTAATCAAAGTGGTTGTCCTTTTGAATTCTATATTTTATGTCATGCTTAGAAATGCTTTTCAATTCTAGGATTATAAAAATACAGATTACTGCTTTTAAAATATAATATTATAGTCCATCTTCAGTTCCTTAAAAAATGGCAACAATTTCACATAACTCCATTTAATTTTAGGTAACATTTCCCAACTGTCTTTCTTTAGCAAATCATAAGCAACATGAGTCAAAGTCAGTTTCTAAATAGATCATCCTATTTAGTACAAAAATGCCAGTGAAGCAAACACACAGCTCCAGCAGAGCAGCTCTTTTCTCAAGAGAACAAGATAGACAACATCAAAAAAACCAACTTGAAAGGAATAACTGATCCAGCTCCTCAACGCTACACAAAATACAGAGTATACGGGGTGGGCAAAAGTAGGTCTACCGTTGTTCATATGGAAAATAGTACAATAACTAACAACAATACAAGAATAAACTCTATTTCGTGTATTCACAACTGCAAATCTACTTTGTCCCACACTGTATGTTATCAATACAAAGAATTGATTGGTTTAAATTAAAAAGAAATCAACAAATTAACTGTACATTTCAGATACAATTTTTCAAAAATCAATTCCCACCATTATTTTCCATTTAGAATTGACCTTAAAATTACTATAATAAAAATGCATTTCATTGAAAAGTATATATATATATATATATATATATATTTACAATAAATTTGTGTAGGTAACTAACAATACTAATATTCTTATATAATAAAAGGGTAATATGCAAAGTGACCCTAATGGCAGAACGACCAGAATGACTGCTTGACCAGTCACTATGAGGAGCACTGACCACCTCTCGGTCCCTTTCCCAGGCTGGCAGGTTCCCATTGTCCATTGACAAACAGGGAACTGGGGTGGGTGGCCGCAGGGAGCAGGGCCAACAGTCAGCAGCTTGGGAAGATGGCCCTGATCACAGGCCAGCCCTAGGGACCATACCCATGCACGAATTTCATGCTCTGGGTCTCTAGTATTAGAATAAATACTAAAACTTCACCAGAAAGTGCTGCAAACATGAGGGCTGTGTATCCATGTTCATGTTGATGACAATTTACATCAGCTCCATGTCGCAGAAGTAATTTGCACATATCAAGTTTTCCTTTATATGCAGCATGCATTAAAGGAGTCATTCCATTCTGTAATAGAAAGGAAAAAATGTATTAATTTTACTTATTTGTCTTAAGTTACCTATGAGCAATTCCTGCAATTATATTAAAAACAAACATGTATTAATAAAATCTTTACAATCTATAAAGTATTTTTATATTTACTTTCACACTTGGATCTTCCACGAACTGCTCAAGAAAAAAGATGGTTTTATTACTTTATTATTTTATTTTTTTACAGATTAGCAAATAGACTCAGAGAAGATTTGCTCATCCTCACATAACTACTCAAATAGCCAGGGCAGGGACTAGAACCCAGGGCTCTCATCTCTACCACACATTCTTAGTTCCTGGGGAAACAAATGAACAAGCAGATACAAATGCACTAACAATAAAAATAATGAGGAAAAAAACTTCAAAACAAATAGAATGCCTACCAAAGGAAAAACTGAATAAAGTATGAGAAAAACGCCGAAACCGGTTTGGCTCAGTGGATAGAGCGTCGGCCTGCGGACTGAAGGGTCCCAGGTTCGATTCCGGTCGGGGGCATGTACCTGGGTTGCGGGCACATCCCCAGTAGGAGATGTGCAGGAGGCAGCTGATCGATGTTTCTCTCTCATCGATGTTTCTGACTCTCTATCTCTCTCCCTTCTTCTCTGTAAAAAATCAATAAAATATATTAAAAAAAAAAAGTATGAGAAAAACAAGATGCAGGAATACTTTATAGTGGTATCATTTTTAAAACAATGCTCTCTTAAACTACATTTATATTTTGATCATATACATGATTTGTTCATATATATATTGTATGAATACGGAGAAATGGTTGGTAGTATTTACACTAGACTACCCTACTAGTCTCCGCATGTTTTTGCATATCCAATACAACAACCAACCTCACATGTACTGGGTTCTGGGTACCTAATACTATTTGGTAGATAAATGAGCAAGCTGTTTCCTGTAAGTTAATTTTCTCAGTAACCAAGAACACTCTGTAAATTCTACAAGTGCTGGAATTTCTAAGTTGTTTAGGATGGAAACCTCTCTAAAACATATAATCTCTTACCTTTGTAAATTTTAGCACACTAATATAATTTGAATTATTCCTGACGACTGCAGATTATTTTGAACACAGCCATCAATATTTTCAGAGGGCTGTTGATGTGAGAATTATAGGGAAGGTAGGACCTTTCAGGTGGCTGTACAAGAGGCAACGGAATGGGAGTAGTCAAAGTTTCTTGAGAGTAGTAATGGAAAAATGTTAAGATTTCAACTTTAAGAGTCCCCTAGTTGGGTGTGTCTATAAGGATGTGGTATTTAAATGTTGGGAGTGGTTTGAGTGGGTGTGGGTAATCAGAATCTCAATGTACAGAGGCACCTTTAAGAGAGTGGGAATGGACTATACGCTCATTACCTTTTGAAGGAGAACATTAGGGTGGTAACCCCTAAAGGATGATATAACCTGTACATCAGAAGCTGGTGTGTAGCCTGGGGGGGAAGAAGGGACACAGTACAGATGGGCACTCAGTCACCAGCAATACAATCTCCAGTGACAGGTTCTCAGGCTGAGGGAATGACCCCAAGACTACAGAACTGCCCTATAATCTAAAAAAAAGTAATAATTTTTTTTTTTAATTTAGCTTTCAACACAATGTGATAATGTGCTTATGAGCAAAGGAGATGTGGAAAGCTTTGGATCTTATATTACAAACTGACCTCATTTTTTTATGTATGCTTGTGTTTTAAACTGTCATCTCTGTTAATCACATTAGACCATTCATCTATTTGTTCCCTGCTTCCAGATATTCCCTTTCTTCTCATTAAAAAAACAAAAATGTTTTGTTTCTTTCATTTTGTTTTTCTCTTTGGTGTTTCTTGTTTACCAGCTGTCTTCTTAGCAATGATTGGTTTTCAGAGTCAACCAATGAGAGAACATCTTTCCAAAGAGGCAGTGAGCTATTCCAATCATGCCATTTGCTATGCAATCTCTGAACCCATTTGTGTCATAACACAATGTATTTTTTCCCATATCAAATTTTTTGATGGATGTAGTGTTTACAGTTCTAAATAGTAGGAAATTTTTACTTCTATTTCTTCTTCTACCCAAGAATTACTTAGATTCTTTTTTTTAAATTTCAGGTTATATGTTTTATTATCTGGATCATATTTTTGTTCATTTTCAATGTATTCTATTGCATTTGGTGAATTTGTCTGAAGTTAACTAAAATTTCCTTTAAAAATAGTATAATATATAGACTAATTAGTAATGTTCCATGTAAAAAGAAAATGTTCTATTTTTTCTGTCTTATATACATAGGACACAGACTGATAATTAGGTTATTCACATTTTCTGTTTCTGTCTCTGAATTACTTTTTTCCTACTTCATCTGTTGGTTTCTGAAAGGTGCTATTGTCTTACAAATTTCTCCTTTCAATTTTCTTTTTTTTTGAACATCAAAGCTTTAAAGTTTGTAAGTGAAGGCTTAAGACTGGTATGTTCTTGGTGGATTATTAATTTAATATATAAGAAAGACTTTTGACCTATTAAATATTTTTTTGCTTTAAACTTTATTTTGTGATATTGTTTGCTAGCCATGTGCAGGTAGAGGGTTAACAAAACCCCTTCCCTTCTGCATGAGAAACCGCTGAGTTAACTTTCTTGCACTAGAACTGTGCTGTATAACAGAATAACCACACACAGATATTGGCAGAGATTGGACAGCTCAGAATAGATCTTACCATCATCTCAGAGTTATTTTGGACAGCAAGTGTTCTAGAAAGCTCAGTGTAGGTTTAGTTACCTTTCCCTAGAAGTAGAGTTGCTGAATCAAAGGTACACACATTTAAAAGTCACACAAATTCTAAAATTTTCTCCAGAATGTGATGCCAATTTATAACTAGAGGCCTGGTGTATGAAAATTCATGTACTCAGGGCAGTCCCTCAGTCTGGCCTGCACCCTTTTGCAGACCAGGAGCTCTTGGGGGATGTCTGCCTGACAGCTTAGGTCTGCTCTCCTAGGACCTAAACTGCAGTCTGGCATCCCTCTAAGGGAGGCGACCCACAGGCAATTGGGGCCGGCACCAGCGGGTGGGTGAGCAGCCGGGCCCGCCCCCCATCTCCCTGCCGCCACCGCTACCACCACCGCCGAGGTGACCGGCAGGGCAATGGGGAGACAGCACCAGCCAGTGAGCAGCCAGCCCCACCCCTCCCTGATTGCCCCTCCACCACCGTCCCCTCCCTCTGCCCACTGGCACCCGCCTTGGCTGGCCTGGTGTCGCCCACTCACCAGCTCTGCCCCCTGCCAACCAGTAATTCCACCATTCAGTCAATTTGCATACTAGGCTTGTATTATATAGGATTCATTAGCATATAAAAGTCCACCGTTTCCCACATTTCACGAGAAATGATATAATTTTGGTTTAATTTGCAATTATTTGATTACTAATACAATTAAACATGTTTTTACATGCTTATTTGTCTTTTGTGTACTGTGTGCTTACATTTGGTTTAGATATAAGCATATTGAGAACAAATTCTAGAAAAACAATTCTTATTAGATTTTATATATTATCCATTCTCACAGGGAGTAAGACACTTCATTAAAAATTTTACCTCATCCAAACAGTTGACACGGACATTCTTGTTGGCTAATAATGTTCCAGCTTCTTGGACAGTACCTATTAAATAAATAAATAAAGGGTTATTTATCACTAGAATAGAAAAAAATCTAACATCAAAGAAATAAATTAAAGGCTTATCTGTAAAATTAAGATTAGTCAGGTTAGGTTGTTAAGGAAATAAAGTATCAATCACACACTATTTATTCCACAAAGTAATTATCCAGAATAAAAGATTTATAGAAACTAAAATAGCCCCATCTTATTTTTATTTCCACTGATCTTAAAGTACATTAAATCGGCCACATTTTCCTTTTGGCAGTAATACAATAACCACAAAGCATAATATTCTTACTACTGAAACAAATCTTAAAGGGCATCTAGTCCAACCCATCATTTAAATACCAGTCAATGTAATAATTGGAGTTAAACATATAATCACTATTTATGTACTTGGTCACCATAGGCCCTGCGAACTGATGGCATGCTTATAATAGAACTCTTGGTTTAGAAAGGCTTAGGTAAACATATCTTTAAAGGCTGGTACTATATAAAAGTGCCCTCATGCTGAAAGTCCTCTGATGTAATCCTGAAGGTCAGTCCTCTGTACATTTGAAAACCAGCTGTAATTAGGCCACAACTGTCAGGTTTTTCCAGTCTTCTGTGAGGCACATGATAGAAGCACGTAGCTGCAGGAGAGAATGTTGCTATTATCATCATCATAAACGAGAGTCAGCCACATATTCTGCCAAAACAATTCTGGTTTGACTGGGAAGAGAACAATGAAACTAAATGTTCTCAGGGAGAAAGGATGAGATAAGCCTCTATTCCAAAAGGACATAAAATAGGAAATGCACCCACTAAGAGTTATTTTTCCTCTTTAACTTTGGAATTACAGTTCAAGAATGTGTTAAATTCTGCTAGTCTTCCAGTGAAAGATGGACTGCAGAATAAAGATAAGCATGCTTCTCTCTCCCTGGCCTGTTTCTACGGCAAGTGATACAATTGCTGTTCACCAACATGGAATAGATGGAAAAATGTCTCCTTGACTGAGAAGAGAAATAGATCTGCTGGCGAAATGTCAAGTGAATCATCTCCAAGTCCCTGGATTGTGACAGCAGCTATTTTGTCAATAGTGCATTGTCTGACCCCATACCCCATCTGCAGTGCCACAAAATGAGAGGGGAAAACCTCCCAGCATGAAAGCACATGGAACCTACCCATCCATGTGACTTCCTATCAGAGCCTTTCTCACAAATATTTGTAGAGTGGAATTAAAATAATAAAAACTCCCACACCCCAATGTTACTTGAGGAAGATGCTCTAGCTGAATCCCACTGGCCTCCAAGGAATAACAGGTTATTTTCCATCTGATCAGGAGATGATTCTGCAGTAAAGGAAGAATACTATAGGGATTGTGAGCATGTCAAGGCCTGCCAGGTATTACAGTTGTAAACATTTGGCTCACATTAAAGAACAGACCAATGATTTCATAAACTGTTTAGCTCAACGGCCAACGATCTAAGTTAAATCTGTCCTGTTAGGTAGGGAATAATTAAAAATAACCAATAAAATGTGAGGCACGCACACACACACACACCGCTGCATACCAGTGAGCCTTTTGAAATGCAGGGACCAGGATGAGAATTTTTTTTCTGAAATGGTTTTGGCTTCTATAATAATAAAGGCATAATATGCTAATTAGTCCAGACATCCTTCCGGACGACCATCTGGATGAAGCCGTGGCAGCAAGGGCCTGAGCCCCTTGCATGAAGATTTGTTTCAGTATTAAGAATCTTATGCTTTGTGGTTATTGTATTACTGCCAAAAGGAAAATGTGGCCGATTTAATGTACTTTACGATCAGTGGAAATAAAACCTTGCATGGGTAGGTTCCATGTGCTTTCATGCTGGGAGGTTTTCCCCTCTCATTTTGTGGCACTGCAGATGGGGTATGGGGTCAGACAATGCACTATTGACAAAATAGCTGCTGTCACAATCCAGGGACTTGGAGATGATTCACTTGACATTTCGCCAGCAGATCTATTTCTCTTCTCAGTCAAGGAGACATTTTTCGTGCATCGGGCCTCTAGTATAGAGAATAAAAACATATCTTGGAAAATAGATGTGCAAAATATTATAGAGGAAAAACGTGATGATTTCTAATTTGGTGTTCCTAATTTAATGGCATTAGTAGGAAACTAGTGATAGTCTAGAATAGCACAGAAATGTGAAACCCAGGGCTCAGGCAGAATGATTTTTACTTTTTTCATTCCTTACTGTCCACAGTAGATTCTCAAACAGTATTCTGCAATTAAGTTTAAAAGATTAATTGCTTTACTCTGGGAAAGAAATATATTAAATCTGATTTAACAAACTCTTAAGATGGGGAGGTACATTACTATAAGGGAGATATGAAATGAGCCAACAATTATCTTCGATGGAGACAAAAATTAACAGACTTATAATTGATGAAAGTAATATTTAATGATTTTTTTTCCTTTTGAGAAATTTTCCAAGTTGCTCAACCAAAGAAGAAAACACAACCCAACCTGCCTCATTAGGGCGAGATGATCAACTTATCTGACAGACCAGCATTTTAGCAGAGAAGAGATGGAGCTAATAGATGTTTTTGCTGTTATTGCCCTCTTTTCTACCATACCATAGTACTGTGAAATTGAACAAGTCCGTGAAGCCCTCAGTTTCCTCATCTGTAAAGTAGATAGTAGACATCCCGTAGGGTTCAGACCGTAGGTTCAGAGGAGGATTAAAGTCTTGTCCTAATGCCTGGCCCAGAAACATCCTCAGTGCCTATCATCTAGGTCAAGCATGTCAAACTCGCGGCCCACCGGTTGCATGCCTCATTCATCTGGCCCGTGTTAGCCTTTGAGTTTGACATGCTTGATCTAGATGCTCTTGTTATCTTATATGCAGAGCAGCACAATATAATTCACTGTGACATTTCTAATATCTAGATTGGAACCATTGATCTCTTACTGAAGGTAAGCATGTGTAGTAAAAAAAAAAAAGGGGAGAAACAAAAAAAATTTTTGGACATTTCTGTTTCTAGCAATCCATCAGATGACCATGAGATTTGGGTATGCATGGTTTTTAGTCATTTAGTGGAATCCCCAAAAGAGATGTTTTAAGGAATCTATGATTCAAGTAAGGTAGTGAAATACTATTTGTCTTATTAGTTGCTATCATGTGTTTATGTAAGTAAAATCATGTATAAAATATTTAAAGTGTCTAAATTTTAAAAATAATACATACATTTAGATTTAATTATAGATATATAGCTATAAATGTATTTTAAAAGTAAAGACTTCTAATTTTAACATATATTTTTGAAACAGTAAATTTATTGAAGTGTGCCTTTTCTAAAAGTTCTCATACTAGTATCTATTTTTAGGCTTTGTAACTTAAATGGCCTTAAATTGGGATTATGAATCACTGCCTAAAAATCAAAATATCTAAAGAGCTTTTTTTTTAATAAATGAAGACAATAAAGCCCACAGAGGTTTCATAACCTATTCAGTCATTGAGTTAATGGTAACTATATATTTGTTAATGTTTTCTTTGAACTCTAAACTATAATTATTAGAAGGCCTGAATCTTTCTGAACCATAAAGATACTAGAAATAATATTATTCACTACACAGGAACTTATTGCAGGATCTTCCTTTAATAGTCCAACTGGGAACTGAAATGTTCACCAAAGTGAACAGATAAGCAAATAGCAGTATATCCATACAATGAAAATAAAAGAATACGAAACAGACTATTGATACAGCATAGATGAACTTCAAAATCATGTTAAGTGAAAGAAGTTATGAAAAAAAGGGAATAATTTACTGTATGCTTCCACTTATATAAAATTCTAGAATAGAAAAATTTAATCAGTAGAGACAGAAACCTATCAGTGGTTGCCTGGAGACAGTGGTAGAGGAAGTGAGATTATAAAAGGCTTAAAGAACCTAGTAGGGTGATGGAACTGTTCATTATCTGGACTGTAATGGATGGTTTCATGGATGTGTACTTAAGTCAAAAACTGATTTTAAAATGTGTACACTTTAAATGTGTAGCATTTATCATACCTCAATAAAACTGGTAGAATAAACCTTATTATCCAGCCTGTTTCATAGCTACTTTTACACAAGTCATGAAAAAATACTGCTTCCTCAGTGCTTAAGGAAAAGAATATCAGAAGTTAGAAGAATGAGTCAATCTACAAGTTATAAGCAGTTCAGTGCTCTTCAGTGATTTTAATTTTCTCTTCTTAAATGTTGCAAAATGGATGCCATCACTAACTATGATTTAAATGGGTATGTAGGAAACAGCTCCTCATTTCATCTGGAACTTCCAGGCATTTTAACAGTCTGCAGAACACCTAGCATGTGAATTCACTCAGAAGTTGTTCTAAAAGTATCCAGAGGCACTGCAGGGTATTCTCTGACTCTAAGTCCCACTTACAGTCTGCTTAACTTCTAGAGGCAGTGATTGACAGAAGGAAGACACTCAAAAATATGCGGAGTTTATTTCACAATGACCAAGATGATAGGTCACACTTGGCTAAAAATGTATTATGAGTTCTAAGTGCTAGTACTGACTAATCTAGTGCTTCTCAAAGTTGAGAAATGTAGTGAAGGGGAAAAAAATGAAAAACACCTATCTCCTTTAAAAATGCTTTTAATGAGTACAAATAAAAATTTTACTTATGATCTTTATTCAACTGTGAACCAAAAAATTATTATTTTGTAAATTAAATGCACTTAAAACTATAAAATCAGTAACATTTAAAATTAACTTGACAGATTATAGTATTTTGCTTAAATTAAATTGTCTCTCAAAGTGAATGTGATACAGTTTGTTATGGTGCTGGTTTCATTTTCTATTTAGTTTGTTTTCAAGTCCAACATACTTCTAGGACTACGGGCCATATGATATTTCTGTTTGGGCACTTAATACCTATGTGACACGGGGCAAGTTATCTAATTTCTCAGTTCCTGGTTTTCTTGTCTAGAAAGTGCAGATTACCATATTACCATAACTCCCAACACAAATAGTATTTTAAATCCTTTACACATACTAGCTCATTTCATCCTCACAATAATGTTGTGCGGTGAGTACCATTTTTCACAGGTTGGAGAACGTGAAGCTCAAAATCAGTACTTGCCGGAGGCCACATGACCAGCCAATGACCGAGATAAGATTCATAGTTAACTTCCTTCCCATGCTGCCTCTTACAATTTTGTAGTTTTGAAATAATTCCTGGCTCATGATGATTACATGCATTAATACATGTAAAGTGTTAATAATTATGCCTGACTCATGTTAACATTCAATTGTTGTTATTTTCTTATATTCCCCAGTAAGAATGCATCACATACTAAGTCCATCTCCATTCTTTTCTCAGCCGCTTGGGCCAACAGAATCAGGGAAACGGCGTCTGCGCACTGGAGGTGCAACTGGAGGCACAGGCGCCAATAGCACAGTACTCACCCCATCACAGTCACATTTATTCTCTTGTATTTAATCTTTAAAATAAAAACTGGTGGATGCCTAAGAAGATATCCAAGGATCCCCACCACCACCATCTGCCCCTTTCGGAGACCCACTTTATAAAACTGCTCAGTTGATTAGACTTCTAAAAGAAGTGATCGCTCTGGGTCGCTTAAAAACAAAACTTCCATCCCTGGTGGATCGTGAGTTGCTCCTTTATCTCCGTCATGCCCAGCACTGTACCTGGCACGTAGCTGGAACTCACATGTTTACTGAACTGAGTCCCAGAGCACAAAGGCGGGGAGAAAGCACCCAGAGACAGGCGAACAGAAAGGCTGCAGTGCCAAATAGGTCAATGAGAGCCAAAACCAAAAACACCAACTCCACGTCCCACAATCCCAGGCAAAGAACACTTACTATCAACATAGCTGTGGCTGGCTTAACATTGAGATGGAATGGGGTGGGTTCATCTCATCAGCACCTGTTAAGATCAAATCCCATTTATTTTCTCCTCTCTCTCTTTTACGTTCAGACTGTCCTTGTCAGTGGGAAGAATAATTTGCCATACTCTCTGGGGAACCAGATTTGGACCTGGCTATTAGAAAGACAGAAGGATGGAAACTGGGAAGCTCCAATGACCGGTCTCTGCAGGGGACACAGGTGGCTTGCTCATTCTTTTTTAAAAAAAATATATTTTATTGATTTTGTACAGAGAGGAAGGGAGAGGGATAGAGAGTTAGAAACATCGATAAGAGAGAAACATCTATCAGCCGCCACCTGCACACTCTCCACTAGGGATGTGCCCACAACCACGGTCCATGCCCTTTACTGGGATCGAACCCTGGACTCTTGAGTCCGCAGGCCGATGCTCTAGCCACTGAGCCAAACCGGTCAGTGCTGGCTTGCTCCTTCTTGAGCTTAAAACCCCACAAATTAAGCCCGCGGCCTCCCGCACCCCCATCCCTGCGCCGTGAGTGTGCAGGAGCCACACAGTCACGCTTATGTCACCTGCCAGGTAACGGGACTAGGCAGGGAA